ACGTGGTTGTGGGGGTTGGGGGGGTGCAGGGGGAAGGAGGTTGGTGTTACCAGACATCCCCTCATTGATCACTGTTTGGCTGCCTGTGTGTGCAGAGTCTACGTCTGTAGGAGATCCCTAGCAGTGACAACGAAAGGGAGCTGTAACCGAGACGGTCAATGTTGCAGGATGGCCAGGGAGTAGGAACCCTGTGCTTCCAATGTAACATGTATTGCACGACAATAGCTGTTCTCCTGTGAACACCCAGCTACTGAATCTAGATGCAGCCAGGTTCCTGACTGGCCAGCTTACTCACCCCACCCATTGTGATCCCCTTTGCAGCCACTGTCTTCAATATTTCACCCTGTCCATGTGACTGGAATGGCACAATGGTCCTCCACCTCACTGTTAATGTGCTACTGAGACTTCCAACATCACGCTCTCCTCTCTTGGTGCCCAATGGTCAAGGCCACCGACTTCGCATTTCCTCACATCATCCCCCAAGCTGTGCCCACGCGACTACAAGTGCCGACTTGTCGTACACTTTCTCCAGAGCACACCCTCATTCCAACGGACCCGCCTTGCCACTTAAACCAGCCCCTCAGGTGGTGTGACCAGCGTCAGCCCAGACAGACTGTGGCGGATTTGCCACTCAGACTGAAGATAAAGGACTGACCGTGACCTGCTTCCTGCAGCACAGTGGCACGATCCCCTGCAGTACAACCTGTACCAACCCGATGCCTGTCTGTGGTCAAAACTTGGGACTTGTACGGGAGGTCGCCATTGACGAACTTCGCTGGGACCCCTGCACTGACTGGTGTCCCCATGGGCCTCACTGCAGACCACTCCCCTACGCCTGCTTGCAGATGCCATGTGTTCAGTGCAAAGACTGGGGTCATATGGTCCAGGTGCTAAACTGACATCGCACACTGAGGTAAGACAAAGTGCAGAAGCCCTCGACTGAGCACCACTGCACAGCAGGCAGCTGTGCCAACTGTCAATGCAAGGCAAGGCACAGCAGGGCAAAAGGATGTGTGCTTGCTATGATCATATGTACAGGTACTAGGTGATTGCATGCCGAGAGACGTAGGAAGCACTGATAGACAGCCTAGTCAAAGCTGTGCAATGCATTCTTTTCCTCGTTTGGTACCTGTGCCCAAAGCAGTTGTACACTGCTGGTTGCCAGTGTGCCCTGGTAGACAAGGCTGCCCTTGTAGGGTACACTGCTACTGCACTGGAGAATGCCAAGATGGTGGCAATGCCCCCCTGAATGTGGAATGAAGTGAAAGTGTACATGCAACTGGTGCTGGTGCATTGTGCCATGCTCTGTACCTCGTCCAGGGCTAACATGAACCAGCGATGAGACGAAACCCGCTCTGGTTTCCATGCCGAGTTTTCCTGGCAACGAGGTTGCTAAGGTCACAACCCGCGATGGGGTGGGCTATTTATCAGCTACTTGGCAAGTAACAATATTCAAATCTCAGCATGCCACTTGAAGAAAGAAAACAAGATGTGGCGAGGTGATCACAACATTGACATCGGCCTCGCTGAACACCTCTCCCAATTCTAGCCCTCCATCACACCTTCAGCCGTGCCATTCACAGCTCAGTAAGATTCTGCTCCATGTTTTCACATAATACTCTATTGGTGCAAGGGGAAAGCACAAAACTCTGAATTCCATAGCACTGTGCAAAATCGAAAGAAAAGAACGATCAAACTTTTAGACAGCAATTGAAAAAGTTAGAAGGGCCATTCACGGCCAGTGTTATAATACTTCAACAACATCAGCTTCTAATACAGCAAACATCCCAAGGCAATGTTTATTTGGTGATGCTGCTAAATGAATCACATATAGACATATTATAGCAGGGACTAAAAGATCGGTCTAAGTGGTAGGTTTTAAAGAAAATGTGAAAAGAAGAAAGAAATATGAAGAGAATCAGAGAAATTTAGGGAGTTTAGGCCCTAGACAGCTAAAAATGTGCTCTCCAATACTTGAGCAATCAAAATGCAGGATTCACAACAACAGGATGGAAGGAGGAGTACATATATTTCACAGGGTTTTAAGGCTGGAGGAGATTCCAGAGAGCACAAGGAATGAAGTCAACTATGGCCACAAAAATTGCTGTGCATTTTAAAATGTAGGTGAAGCTTAGCTGGCAGCATTGCATCTCAGCAAGCAAGCAGATCCCATGCATACAAGTCAGAAAGCAGGTTCAAGTGACAAATACAAATTCCAGTGACTTTAGCATGTTACGTGGTTGACACTTTACCAAAGTGGTGTCTTCCAAAAGCATCATCATAAAACTGAAAGAATGTTTAGTTCAGTTACTGGTTTGGAGTGTCACATTCGATAGCTGTGACAATGGAGTTATGAAAAAAAAGAATGAGAGGAGCGTTTGAATATGGACACAGCAGAGCATGTTCAGAATCAGCTGAATGGAAAGACAAACAAATGAGTCAGTTAGATCAACTGGAATGTTCAGGAATCAAAAAAGAGACGCTAAGTCACTTGAAGAGAGAAAAACAGCAAATCTTAAAGTTGTGTGTGTATTCCTGAAAAGTAAAACTATAAGTGAAACAATTTAAGCAAATCCAAAAACGCAACTTTAAACAAATTCAGTTTTCCCATGTACAGCAGATGTAACAGTTATAGTTACGTTTTGTCAGCTCTATTCTGTTACAAAAATCACTCAACCTTATAAAACTAAATACTGCATGTTCCTAAATTCCTATATTTGTAAATGAAGTCGCTTTTAAAATGTAATAATTTTAAAATTAAAATTAATATTAAAGTAATATATGTTACCACTTTCTAATTAACCCCTGCGTGCTGACTTATTCCCACTCTCCCTGTCTCTGCCCCACCCATCTCCCAGCCTCTCCATCCCTAACCCGCGCTCTCACTCTCTCTATTCTTGCCCAGCTCTCCCACACCCCCCATCTCTGACCCCCCCCCCCATCCCTGCGCCACTCTCCCCATCCCTGACCTACTCTTCCCAGGTCCCCCATCTCTGCCCCAATACCCCTGTCCCTGACCCACTCTCCCAGTACCCCCGTCCCTGCCCCAATACCCTCGTCCCTGACCCAGTCTCCCAGAACCCCCATCCCTGACCCAATACCCCCATCCCTGACCCAGTCTCCCAGTACCCCCATCCTTGCCCCACTACCTCCATTCCTGGTGCAAGATAAAGCTAAAGAAAAGGTCCTCCTGCAAAGTTCACATTCTGGCTTGGTTATTGCCATAACACTAAACTAAAACAATGCTGAACAAATCTAAAACAGAGACCTACCCTACAGATATTGGAAACAAAGATGCAATGGCCTCGTCCTGGCAACAACTGATGGAGAATTTAATGACAAAAATTGAGGAAGAAATAAAATCAGATGGATGAGTAAATACCGAGACATTGAAGTCAGCGAAGAAGATGCTGCCAAAAGCCATATTAACGACACTTAAAAGAAACTAACTACCTTAACATTGCTGATTACATGCCACATTCTCACAAAAATGACAACCACACTTTAAAATTAATTCATGAATTGAGAGATTGTGTGGTTGTGAAAGTGCTATACAAATGTTGATTCTTGTTTTATACATGAAAATATAATTCTGCAATCTCACCTCACAAAAACTGAGAGTTCACGGTGTGTGATCTTTCATTCACTAAAATGAACTGGGAAAAATAAACACAAGCTGCAAGCTCATGATTCTCTGAGTTGTAATTTCTGCCAGCACCCGTTCCACTGGGAAGTGCCATATTTCAAAATTATCTCTAAATGTTAATACCACAAATTAACACTGAAACGTCTCGGAACAAATTTGATTTGACTGAAGTTTGTAAGATCCTAAATGGCTTAGACAAAATGGACAATGGGAAAAATTTTACTCTTGTGGCTGTGTCCAAACCAAGATGATATAGTTTTAAGATTAGGGACTGCCCTTTTAAGACAAAGTGGAGGGATTTTTGTTTTGCTTTCAAAGGGTTGTGCAATTTTGGAACTCTGTCTCATAAGGTCGTGGGGGAATATCGTTAAGACGATGAAATAGATTCTTGATAGGCAAGGGAATCAAAATTGATCTCATTTAATCATACAGGATTCTGAAGGGACTTGACAGGGGAAATGCTGAGACGATGCTTCCCTGATGGGAAAGTCTAAGACCAGACGACATAGTCTCAGAATAAAGGGGTGTCAGTTTAAGAATGAGATGAGAAGGAATTTCTTCTCTCAGGGAGTTGAGTGTCTTTTGGAACTCCATGACACAGACAGCTGAGGGGGCAGAGCTCTTGTGTATATTTAAGGCTGACACAGATAGATTTTTGATCAGTAGGGAAATCAAGGGTTATGAAGTAAGGGCAGAGAAGCAGACATGAGGAAAATCGGATCAAATATGATCCTACTGAATGGCAGTACAGGCTCAAGGAATCAAATGGCCTACTCTCGTTCCAGTTTCTTTTGGTACTGACGGGAATGTGGAATTTGGAACACAAGCCAATCAGCCCTGATCTTATTGAACAGCAGAGCAGGCTCGGAGGGCCGAAGGTCCTGCTTCTGTTGCTAATTCATACATTTGTCAGAAAATCCTTCATTCGATTCTACAAACAAATTAATATTTGTGCAAAAATGGATGCAGATGAAAGTGAGAAAATACTTAGCTCTTCCAGATAAAACTTTTTTTCTAACTTTATGAACATGAAGTAAACTATGACTGACAAGAAAAAAAAACTTACTAATTTTATGTAAATCAAAACCTATAATGAGCAGTATTAATAAATTTGCCTTAAACTTGCTAATAATTAAAGTTGTGCAATTTAACTTAAGTAGTTGTTGACAGTTTCGAGGGTGGGTAGGGTTGAAGGATCAAGCTTTTAAGAAACATAATAGTACCCCCCCAGGCAATTAATATTAATCCACTCAATGGCAAGACTCGTCTGTGCAGTTAGTATGGTATCCATTGCATAATCTGAGGGGTACAGGCTAAAATACAGAAAAAGTACGCAGCACCACATGGAGCTTACTGTATCATTGGCTTTCACATTTCTGCACTTAATTTGGCCTTGGTGTTTGGTGCCATCAGGACAGATTGCAGTAATGTTCACGTAGACCCCATTGATTTGGTTGTCCACCTGCAGTTCTACTTCAGAAAGCAGTCTCTGTATGAAAACAAAACACACACAAAAAGAAAAATCAATTTCCCACGAACTGTGATGTAGTGGTTTTACAAACAAGCTGAATGACTCAGTGAGGAAAAGCTTTGTTGCACATATAAATCTTCCTTCTGTAAGAGTGAATCAGCGCAAAGTGACAAATGATCTACCACTTTTGTATTAAATGGTCGGCGCTTTCTCGAATTCTTTCCGAGTAGGAATCATCGATGATTCTTTGCATTTGAATAATGAGTGGAATCAATCTTCTGTTAAATCTTTTTCAAAAACAGTTTGTGTAACAAATCACTAGTTAGGCCACGTCTGGAATGCTGTGAACAGTTTTGGGCCCTTTACCTATGAAAAGGTAAACTGGCATTGGAGGCAGTCCAAGAGAAGATGCACGAGGCTGATACCAGTATAAAAGGGACTATATTACGGGGAGAGGTTGAATCGGTTGGGCTTATCAGAATTTAGAAGAATGAAGGGCAACCTTATTACAACATAAGATTCTTAGGGGGCTTTATAGGATAGATGTGGACAGATTGTTTCTTCTTGTAGGAAAGTCCAGGACCAAAGGGCATAATGTCAAAATAAAGGGGTTACCCATTTACGACAGAATAAAGGGGGAATTTCTTCTCTCAGAGGCTGGTGAATTTGAAGAGTTCTCTCCCGCAGAGGGATGGGTCATTATGTATATTCAAAGCTGAGACAGACAAGACTCTTTATCAGTAAAAGAATCAGGGTTATAGGACAAAGGCAGTAAAGTGAAGTTGAGAACGATCAGTACAACTATGGTCTCACTGAATGGTGGGGCAGTCTCAATAGGCTGAATGGCCTCCTTCTGCTCCTACATCTTATGATCTTATTAAGTGCCCACATAGAATTCAGGGATATATTTTAGTTCTTCATCATACATGGCACAGAACATCCTAACCTGATTTCTGATCTGTAAAAAAGAAAACACAAGGCAATCCCAAATACTACAGGAGTAAACTTTTAAATCTAAATTCCGAGATATAGCTAAAACATGAAACACGCAAAATCATCTCAAAAGGAAAAGCGGGCAAATATCAGGAGGACGATCAAGTTAACCCAATTTAGCCACACCTCTCGGAAAGAAGCAAAATGAAAATACATGTGGTCAACTAAGGAAATCCTTCAATATTTTGAAGTGTGAAGGATCGTGGGCCTCATCAAATTGATGGGTACGAACTCCCCTCCAGATCTTTCTTCCCCTTGGGCCTCAGCTTCATCCCATACATCCCCGCCTCGAAGAATTTCATTATCAGAACAACACTCAGCTTGTTTCCTGTCACTGAGCCTGCAGAAAAATGGCAAGGCCTGAGAGTGGGTGAAGAAGAATGGCATAAGGGATGAGAAACTTCAGTTATGTGGGGAAGCAGGAGAAACCGGGGCTGGGTCTGTTCTCTTTAGGACATAGACTTTAAAGGAAATCAGATAAAATTGTTAAAATTCACAAAATTCTTCAATAGATTAAATAATGAGAAGTTGTGTACAATCAGTAAGCGAAAGTCATAAATTTAAGGGCACTGGCAAAAGAAGCAAAAGATGGGTATGAAAAATAAAATACTTTTTATAAAGCAATTTACAGTGATGTGGGGTGAGCAGATTCAGATCTTACACGTTTTTTGACTAAGTACAGAATGCGCCAGGTTTTTTGGACAGATTCCTGCCATGAAGCTTAGTGAGGACTTCTTGCAATATCTTCCCAACCGTGCATCATTAACAATTTACCCTACCCCTATGGCAACCCTCATGTTCAATTCTACTGCCTTCTTATCACGCATTGTTCCTGGAACAACTTGGCATTCACAGGATATCTGAGGAAAGACCAACATTACTGGCCCCATGCTATTATAAAAGACCACTGTGCATTCCGATGAGCACTAGCATTACGAAGCTGGGTGAACAATGGAGTTGGGAGATATGTGAGAAGGGGAAATGGTCCGAGAGACCTAGAGGTCCTGGTCAAGGAGGTGGTGAAAAGGAGGGAAGGCTGCTTCCCGGAGCATTAGCAAAGGAAGCAGCACAACCAGCCCCGTGCAGCCTGGTCCGAGGCCCCACACAGCTCAAGCCATCTCCATAGTCTGGAGGAATAGCCAGCAGTGCCACAAGGTCAATGACCTTCTTCGCTTCACCAAGGTAAATGCCACACACTTCTCTCTGCTACCTCACACTCACTCCATCTCTGCCACTGCACCCATCTCCCACCAAGAATGATGCTCTGCCACTCTTGCTACTGAATGTAACATTTTCCCTTACTCACTCTCCCGCATGCACCCTCCCACACCAATGGCTTGGCTCAGCTCACCACTAGGACCCGACCAGCTCGATCAGTGGTACTGCTGCCGAGCCACTCTTGTTGGTGGACATTGAAATCCCCCACCCAGAGTACATTTTGTGCCCTTGCCATCCTCGGTGCTTCCTCCAAATGTTGCTCAACACGGAGGAGCACCAATTCATCAGCTGAGGAGGACAGTATGTGGTAATCAGCAGGAAGTTTCCTTGCCCATGTTTAACCTGAAGCCATGAGACTTCATGGGGTCTGGAGTTAATGTTGAGACTCCCAGAGCAACACCCTCCTAACTGTATACCACTGTGTCCCCCCCTCTGCTGGGTCTGTCCTGCCGGTGGGACAGGACATATCCAGGGATGGTGATGACGGTGTCTGGGACATTGTCTGTAAGGTATGATTCTGTGAGTATGACTATGTCAGGTTGTTGCTTAACTAGTCTGTGAGACAGCTCTCCCAATTTTGGCACTAACCCTTAGATGGTAGTGAGGAGGAGTTTGCATGGTCAACAAGGCTGTTTCTGCCATTGTCTTTTCTGGTCCCTAGGTCGATGCCAGGTGATCTGTCCAGTTTCATTTCTTTGAGACTTTGTAGCAATTGGTACAACTGGGTGGCTTGCTAGGCCATTTCAGAGGGCAATTGAGAGTCAACCACATTGCTGTGGCTCGAGTGTCACATGTAAGCCAGACCAGGTGAGGGTGGCAGATTTCCTTCCATGAAGGACATTAGCGAACCAACAATCAGTTTTTTCGGTTGTTCCAACAATCAGCAATGATTTCATGGTGATCAGTAGATTCTTAATTCCAGACTGTGGTTTTAAGTATTGAATTGAAATTCCACCATCTGCCGTGGTGGGATTCGAACCCGGGTCCCCAGAATATTACCTGGGTCTCTGGATTAATAGTCTAGCAATAATACCACTAGGCCATTGCCTACACTATCATACAACAAGCTTTCTGTGCCCACCCCCTGCCCCGACTGAGGATTGCTGGCCAGCAAGGTAATCTGAATAAAAACTGAAAGAACTGCGGCTGCTGTAAATCAGGAACAAAAACAGAAGTTGCTGAAAAAGCTCAGCAGGTCTGGCAGCGTCTGTGAAAAAAAGTCAGAGTTAACATTTCAGGTCCTGTGATCCTTCCTCAGAACTGATGGTACCTAGGAAAATGTCAGTTTATGTGCAGAAGCTAGGGTGGGGGGGGGGGGTAAGGAGTAAATGATAGGTGGAAATAGAGCCCAAAGAGAGAGAACAGTTGGACAGAAAAAGGGGTTGATAACAATTTGGCTAAGAGAGTGAAAGGCTGTTAATGGAGACTGTTAGTGACTAACAATAGGTAGTGTGTAATGGCAGGCCCGGTGATAACAAGACCTGGTGTGTGGGGTAGGGGGCTGGGACATGGGAGAGTTTAGGCCCTAAAATTATTGAACTCGATATTGAGTCCGGAGGTCTGCAGGGTCCCCAAGCGGAAAATGAGATGTTGTTCTTCCAGCTTGCGCTGAGCTTCGCTGGAACACTACGGCAAGCCAGAGACAGAGATGCTGGCCAGGGAACAGGGTGGTGTGTTAAAGTGGCAGGCAACTGGAAGCTAAGGGTCTTTTTTGTGAGCAGAACGTAGATTAGGGGTCACCCAGTCTACACTTTGTTTCCCCAATGTAGAGGAGACCACACTGTGAGCAGCGAATGCAGTAGACTAGATTCTGGGAAGCGCAGGTAAAGTGCTGCTTCACCTGGAAGGTATGTTTGGGCCCTTGGATACTGGGGAGGGAGGAGGTAAATGGGCAGGTGTTACACCTTCAGTGGTTGCAGGGGAAGGTACCATGGGGCTGTCGGATGGAGTTGGGAGTGAAGGAAGAGTGGACCAGGGTGTCCCGAAGGGAACAGTCCCTGCGGAAGGCAGACAGGGGAGGGGAAGGGAATATATGTCTGGTGGTGGCATCTCGCTGGAGGTGGTGGAAATGGCGCCTGATGATCTTCAGGATCATCCGACCAGCATCCAGATCCAAAATATCACAGATGCTGCCAGACCCGCTGAGCTTTTGCAGCAACTTCTGTTTTTGTTCCAGCAAGGCAAGCTGACTGGTTGTGTGATTCCACTAATTGGCAATGCATTGGTGCTTCAAAAGGAAGGTGTTAAGTAGTAAAGCAATAATAGAGCAGGCAAACTGTCCTCAGATGCAATCTGGTCCAATCTGTGAGCTGAGTACTTGTCCCTGAATGCTCGGTGTCCTGGGAGCAGCCTTTCAATATGAGTTGGTGGTGCACCCTACAATGCAAGGCTGCGCTTGCTGAGCGTCCTGCAAATGGATTGGAAAAGGGCTACAATGGTTGTGAAAGGGTGGAAATGGGTGCATACCAATGTCGGTGGGCGAGGGACGCTCGGGGCTGGTGGCTATGGATCTGAGACACTGTTTAGTGCTAAGCAACATGGTAGCTGGCTGTAGCCACTGCCATGCTGAAGTTGCTAGGTACTCACTCCGATTTCATTGTTGAGATTTCTCAAGTTCTAGCTTGTCCGCCGCATGGCCATCACTGAAGCATTTCATGAACTGTAATCTGCAAAATTGGGAATTTGCTGCTGAATACTGAGAAACTGGCCTCGCCACTCGTAAAAACCTAAAAGATGGAGCAAGAATGCTCCAACTGTCAAGACAGGTCTCACCAGACTTCTCATCTGCTTCACTCAGACCCCGAGAAGGTTCTGCCTAACAGCAATCTTCAAATAAGAATTGGATAAATACTTCAATAGGAAAAATATTCAGGCCTGTGCAAGACTCATTGAACTACCCTTCCAAACAGACACTATGCACTAAAAGAATAGAAAGTAAATGAAGAAGTACTTACAGAGGAGTGGAAGAAGTGTCTTTTTCTGAAATTCTACTGACTTTTCAACAACTTGGGTCAGATTGTGGGTCTTCATTTGGCATTTTACTATAATCAATATTTCTCTGGTTTAACTAAATATCAAATTCATACTCACACAAAAGTATTCTTTCAAATATCAGATTCATGCATGTTTGTCAGAATTTTCTTCATTATCTTCCCAGTTCTCAAAATAACATTGGCTCATAACGTCAATAAAAATTGCGTATGCACACAAAAATCACAGATCAAAGTGATTATTTTCTGCCAAAGTTTAATAGAATATTATTGCCAGTGTAGAGAGAATGAAGAGGAAATGCTGATGAATTAGCTTCTGTGGCATCATGACCTGTTCAATGCACATTTGAGTCATGCAACAGAGTTCAAGGACCATCCTAAATATATCCTCAGATCTCATCACTTAACGACAAAGAGCTGGGCGTTCAATCATGTTTTAGAAGGCTTGGATCTGATGAGGCATACATTCATGCCCAGAGGCAGGAGGCAATCAACAGGGATGTGGTTTGGAAAGTACAGCAGAAAAAGTTGTTGGAACACATTGAAAACAAGCTTTGACGACTTTGCAACAATGTGCATGAATGGTACAAGAGCATATCTCAGATGTACATCAGAACCACTTCATAAAATAAACTCCTTCCTGATTTGAACACAAAGGTCTGTAACACCTCTGATGATGAGTCACCGGACTCAAAACCTTAATTCTGCTTCTTTCCCACAGGTGCTGCTGTACCTGTTGAGTTTTGACAGCAACTTCTGTTTTCATTTTAGATCTGGAACAGGCTGGCTCACTGATAAAAGTGCCATCATTGTGAATGCTTTACACTCAACAATTGAGTGCAAATATGAATTTAGACAACCATGTCTTCCCGTTCAGAAAATGATGTTTCTCTTGATCTAAAATAAATATTAGGAATGGCACAGTTCTTGTAAAAATCTTTACTGTGCTTCCACCAAATTAGTCTTAGCATTGTTAAAGCTCAGCTGTTAACCTACTCAAAAGAACAGGATCAAAAGCTACAGTACAATAATGCAGAGTATTGTTGTGGTTGTTGAAGGTCAGTCATCTCAGCTACAGGACATTTACGCAAGAGTTCCTCAGGTTAGTGTTCCAGGCTGAACCATCTTCAGCTACTTCATCAATGTCCTCCTTTCCATTATAAAGTCAGAATGAGGACATATGCCGATTACCACTCAATGCTCAGTACCATTCATGACTGCTCGCACGATGAAGAGGTCCATGTCCAAATGCACACTGTTTGGGTGACAAGTGACAAGTAACATGCTTGCCACACAAGTACATAGCAATGACCATTAAAAACAAGAGAGAATCTAACCATAGATCCTTGACATTCAATGGTACTACCATCACTGAATCCCCCCACTATCAACATCCTGGGGGTGAGCAGGGACCAGAAGCTGAACTAGCCATACAAGTGCTGTGGCTATAACAGCAGGTCAGATGCAAAGAAGCTTGCAGTGAATAACTGACCTCCTGACTCCCCAAAGCCTGTCCAACCATCTACAAGGTACAAATCAGGAAGAATTGCTCCCCACTTGCCTGGATGAGTGCAGATGCAACAACATTCAAGAAGCTTGACACCATCCAGGACAAAACAGCCTGCTTGATTGGTACAGCATTCATCGACATTCACACCCTCCACCACCAATACTCATAGCCGTGTGTACCATCTACAAGATACGTTACATAAATTCACCAATGCTCCTTAAACAGAACCTTCTAAACCCATGACCACTACTACCTATAAAAGGACAAAAGCAACAGATAGGTGGGAACACCTACACCTGCAAATTACCCGTCAAACCACTCACCATCCTGACATGGAAATATATTGCCATTCTTTCAGTGTTACGGGGTCAAAATCCTCCCTCCGTAATAGCATTGTGTGTTAACCTCTTACAGCATGTGGACTGCATCAGTTCAAGAAGGCAGCTCACCACCACCTTCTCAAGGGCCCCTTTGGGATGGGCAGTAAATGCGGGCCCAGCCAGTGACACCCAAATCCCATGGATGAACAAAAAGAAGCATTAGTTACCAAAAGACAAAGCTGTGAAAAATAGCAATAATTATTCTTTCCATTTCTTATAAAGATTCTTTCAATGTCATATTTCTATGACATTTGTATAATAATTTCTTTTTAAATAATTCCACATGGTATGGGAGTCAAGAAGGATACATGTTCTCAGTTACCCAATTAGATAGTTTAAAAAAAATCTTGCATTAGTATTATAACCAAACGCTTTCCAAAGATATCAGAGTGCTTTGCAAACACTGAATTACTTTTCAGAAGAACGTGTTTGTTTTCCTATTTGCATATATGACAATATTCAAAAGCACAAAAATAAATAATCATTCTTCAAATAATTCTTAATGATTCATTGAGTTTATATAGGGGCCTAGGGATAAAAGTTTCATCAGGATCCACCAATCACCAAAAATAGCTTTGGTAGATTATTGAAAGCTCAGAGATAGAGTATGAATTAAGCAAACATCATTATGACAGAGAACATTAAGAGAAGAACTGATGCAAATGCTAAAACTGATGCAAGAAAATAATGTTTTGGGTTTAAATTTAAAGTCATCTCCAAAATAACAAAGACAGTAGTTAGAAAAATTTTTATTTTGTTGTTATATTTGTTTATTAGATGTGATGATCTACAAGAAACAGCAATGGGCAGAGCAACCGTAACATACCTTGAAAAGGCCGCAAAATAAATTACCAGGATTCTGTCAAGTTGATGAATTGGACAACCAGCAAAGGTCCATCAAAATCAAATGGTGTTCAAGCACTTCACAGAAATCATAGAATCCCTACATTGTGGATGCTGGCCATTTGGCTCAAAGAGTTCACACTGAGCCTCCAAACAGCATCACACTCACCCCCTGTAACCCAGCATTTCACATGGCTAATTCACCTAACCTACATATCCCTGGACACTGAGCAATTTAGCATGGTCAATCCACCTAACTTGCACATCTTTGCACTGTGGGACGAAAACCAGAGCACCCAGAGGAAGTTCATGCAGACACGGGGAGAATGTACAAACTCCATGCAGTCACCTGAGGGAGCAGTCAAACCTGGGTCCCTGGTGCTGTGAGGCAACTGTACTAGCCACTGAGCCATCATGCTGCCCTAAGAGGGGAAGGACAGAAGACCATGCACTGGCCAGGAACTGAACCCAGGCCTCTGGCATGGTAGGCAAAAAATTCTACCACTGAACCACCAATGCAACCACTGCACTTACGTAGCACTTTACGCATGATCTCCTGGTTGACAGCACCTCCATGAGGATATGCTCTAGGCTGAGTGCCCACCTCACTCCTGGGCAATCTCCAGCCTGAGCAGCGACTTAAATCCACCTGAAAAGTAGTGTTTCAGCCCTTAATATTCAGTCAAGAAGTGAGACTGCTGCTAAATAAACCAAGCTGATATGGACGATTTCTGTTTTATTATTGAATTTCCTGCTGTTGTTGTTTTCTTTTCAATGGACTTTTAGCATATGTTTTAAAGCTTTCAGGGCACCAGGTCTTGAGTGTAGATCTTGCTGATAGATTAGACATGAAACAGATTTTCAAAATTTTGGAAGGCAATTTTTTAATGCAGCTTTCCAGTAAACTTGCAAAAGAAATCTTCATGTACTGCCAATTATTTCATTCCTGTGTAATTGGAAAGATCCCATCAGTATAAACACAAGCCATATTGTTTACCTCATCCCTTCATTTGCTTCTGCAAATTCAAAATTGTTCCTTAAATACATTCCGTTCTTGCTATTCAATTTGCTTAATTAGCTAAATAATTAGCATTAGAGTGTTTTATTATGTACGGAGTCAGACTTGTAGATCTGAGGAGTGATAGAGTTTTGAGGATTTGGAAGGAAGGTCTTTTTTCAGAGTGCTCATGAGATAAAAAAGACATTATTCATGAATTAGAAATCTGTTGTTAAACCCATATACTTTATTCTCAATTTTTTTAATAACAAGGAGCAGGAGTAGATCATTCAACCTCTCGAATCTGCTCTGCAGATTTGATAAGATCATGGTACGTCTGATTACAATATGAAATCCACATTACTGCTTATTCCTGATGACCTTTCACCCCTTTACTTACTAAGAACCTATCTACCTCTGCCTTAAAAACATTCAGACTCTCGTCCTGAAAAGATGGTGGAAGCAGAGTTCAAAATATGCACGAACCTCAGAGAAAATTTGCATAATCTGTGTTTCAAATGAATGACCCATGATTTTTAAACAGTGGCCCAGTTTTAACCAGTTTTAAATCCTCCCATGACAGGAAACATCTTCATAGAATCATAGCGTGCAGAAAAGGCCCTTCAACTCAGGGAGTCTGTACCGCCAAAAATACACAACTACCTACACTAGTTCCACTTTCTAGCACTAGGCCAAAGCCTTAACGGTTATGACACGTGCTCATCTAACTACTTTTTAAAGATTGTGAGGTTACCCACTTCGACTAGCCTCCCAGACAGAGCATTCCAGACCGCTACTACCCTCTGGGTAAAAATTATTCTCCTCAAATCTTCTCTAAACCTCCTGCCTTTCACTTTAAGTGTGTCCTTAGTTCTTGGCCCTTCACTAAGAGGAACACTAAAGGTGATGCCCTAGTAGTATTATCGCTAGACTATCAATCCAGAGGCCCAGGTAATTATATAAGACTTTAATGATGACCATGAAACCATTGCCGAGTGTTAGGAAAACCCATCTGGTTCACGAACATCTCTTAGGGAAGGAAACTGCGATCCTTACCTGGTCTGGCCTACATGTGACTCCAGACCCACAGCAATGTGGTTGACTGTTAACTGCCCTCTGGGCAATTAGGAATGGGCAATAAACACTGGTCCACCCAGTGACACCCACATCACAGGAATGAGTTTATTTAAGAAAAATAGCTGCTTTCTGTTCATCTTGTCAATCCTCAATCTTATACAATTCTATCAGATCCCCTTCAAACTTCTCAAGCAAACAACCGAAGCTTATCCAACCACTCCTCATAGCTGAAATGCTCCATTCCACTCTAGCTGAAGTACAATCTAAAACCTTTCTCCTCACTGTCGATACCTGCCAATCGATGTGTCACCACAAATTTACTTATCATCATCCACTCCCCACATTACCCCTTTTGTCAAGACCCCTCAGAATCTTTAACATTATAATCAAATTGCCTCTAACTCTTCTAACCATTGGTAGATATAAGCCTAGCCTATCCAAACTTTCCTCCTAAGACAACCTTTTCATTCCACTTATTAGTTTGGTAAACCTTTCCTGAACTACTTCCAGCACATTTACCTAAATAAGGTGACCCACTACTGTGTTTAGTGCTATAGATGTGGATTCACCAGTGCGACTTACAACTTAAGCATAATCTCCCAACTTTGAATTCAATTCCCCTTACAATGAAGGATAACATTCTATAATGCTCCTTAATTCCTTGTTTACCTGCATACTAACCTGTTGTGATTAATGCACTACGGTATTCAGATCCCTCTGTATTGCATTTAGATACTAAACGTCTGCGTTACTCTTCTGGCAAAAAGTACATTTTTGCATTTTCCCACATTATACTCCATTTGCCACATCCTTGCCCCCTCACAGTATCTTTTTGTAGCCTCCTCTTTACACTTAATTTCTAACTTATCTTTATATCAACAATATATATGGGAATCATTCTCCATACTAATATGTAGTGTAGCACTTTATCTAATGCCTTCCAGAAATCCAAGTACATCCACCGGTTCCCTTTTATCCAGAGCAAGTATTAGCTCCTCAAAGAATTCCAATAGATTAGTCAAACATGACTTCTCTTCATGAAACCAACTTGACTCAGTCTGATTACCTTAAACCTATTTAATTACCTTGCGATAATTTCTTTAATATTAATTTCTAATATATAGGTATTTCTTCCTTTCTGTCTCGCTCCCTTTTTGAATAAAAAGTTATCATTTGCTATCTTCCAATCTAATAAGACCATCCCTAAATTAAAGGCGCTTTGAAAAATTAAAACCAATGCATGAACTATCTCACTAGACAATTCTTGTCACTAGGATGGAGTCCATCAGGACCAATGCAATGCTCCTGTCCAATTCATCTATCATTTCCTTATTTTCCCACTGTTAATTCTCCAGTCTCATGTTCTATTGGATCAATGCTCGCTTTGTTAACTGTACAGTTTCAAAATTTTTGATAGAATCTCTTACAATCTGATTTTATATTTCTGGCTAGCTTTCTTACTCCCATTTTTCTGTTTCTGTTTAGTGGTCGTTCTTTGTGATTTTTTTTCATATTCTGCCAAATCTTCTGACCTGCTGGACTCTGCAGTTGTATTTATTTCTTTAATTTGATACGATCTTTCACCTTCCTAGCTCCCTATAGACAGTGGGTCAATCCCCTGAAATTCTTCTTACTCTTTCTTAAGAATGTCTGCTGCTGCATCTCTATTGGCCTTTCTTTTAACTAATTTGCCAATTGACTTAAGATTGCTCTGCTTTCACACTGTCATAATTGCCATTTTTTTTAAATATAGTCTCATAACTATTCCTATACCCATCAAAATGAATGTAAAATTCAATCATTTTATGGTCACTGCTACTTAGGGACATCTTCAATATGAAATCATTAATTAATCTTATCTTCAAGAATAGTGTCAGGTTCAGTATAGCCAGCTCTCTCGTTGGCTCCAGGCATGGTGCTCTAAGAAACTATCCCAAAATATTCCATGAACTCCTCATCACCTTTGACCATCTGCATTTTCCAGTCAATACGTGAATTAAAATTTCCTATGATTATTGTTGTACCTTTCTGACAAACTCCTATTATTCCTTCCTTTATACTCCTCCACCCTCTTGTATGGTTAGTTAGGAGGGGCTGCACACCACTCGCATCAGTGATTTTGTGCCTTTATCATTTCTCATCCCCACCCAAACCATTCAACATCCTGATTTCTTGGAATTAGGGTAATCCCTCTTTATCATACTCATATCATCATTAACTAGCACAGCCACTCCACACATTTTCCTACCTTCCTATCTTTGCTAAAATCCTTGTAAAATTCAAGATTCAGATCCCAGTCCATGACATCCTGCAGCTATATCTCTGGGATAGTGACCAGACCATTTTTATTCATTTGGATTTGCACTTTTGGATCATCTATTTTACACTGAATGCTATGTACATTCAGATACAGAAGTTTTAGTTGCATTCTTTTTGTAAATTGTCAACTAATCTGTTGGTTTACTTTTAAATCTACACTATCTCTTCCCATCTGTACAGATCCAATATTCTTAAGTATTGGTGCCTGAACTGGGTTGAAAAAGGAAATAAACAACTAGCAGTACAAACAATTTTATCCATTCTTTCATTTCTGATATTAACCAGATGCTTAATTTGCAATTTTTGAAGGAAATGTTCTTGCAAAGTGCTAGAGAAAACCTAAACTATTTTCAAGATTCTGTGTTTCCGGCTTATTTTCTGTTCAGCAAATTCTACGATCAGAGGGGATGGACGTCTTTTCTGTCATATATAACATGCTTAGTTATCCACTACAAGTTCTGCCAGCACCATGTCAAGATTTATTAGGTTTTATTCTCCCTTGCCAAAACTATCCATCACACTGAATAGTAAAGATCATCCGCAAAATTTTTCTGCACTACCAATTATTTCCTAAATCTCCACTTCATCTTTAACAAGCACAGGCATTCATAACCTTCTTCACCATCGGTGAGCTGTTTGCTCCCTCTGACCAGATTAAAAGCTCAACCAAAACATCAGACTTTCCACTTTGTGGAAAATACCTACATCTTACTAGTTTCTTCATCGTAGCTTCAGCCTGTTATGCATAAATTCATCTTAATCCCATCAATGGGACTGTGCCTTCAGCTAACTGAGCCCCATGCACTAGAATCACTGTTCTAGGCCCACTTGTGTTTTCACTTTCCTTTACACATCAGCCAGGTTTTTGACTGCCATTTAACTAATCTTCCTCTCTGACTTAGTACTCACTTTCTCCGTGTCTCTGAAGCACCTCTGAATACTTTTATACGCATATGCTGCAAATTAGTATTGTGAAATAGTCCAGTGACTTTGTTAAAGGATTACACAGCAAACCAGAGCGCTAAAAATAGCAGCAGAATTTCAATATTGTTGCTCTTACAGTACCAGAAGTAATTTATTATGATGTGCAAACATTCCACCTATACGCCAATACATGTGGCTCATGACTATAGAGAAATTGTGGACATTGTGAAGCCAATTGTATGAATTTACAATCCTGGCATGCAGCCTCAGCTACAGGAAACACGCATTAAGTAACTGAGCACAGTAAGTC